CCGGCGGGACCAGCCGGCGTGGAGCGGCAGGCTGCGGATCACGGCCAAGGGCAAGATCGCCTTCATTAAGCTGGAGGACAAGACCTCGGGTAAGGAGGAGGCGAGAAGGCGACGGCTCCGCGCCTCTCCGTGGGGAGGAAGACGCTACGCCCTGGCATTAACCCGCTCCCGTTTCTCTTTTTCAGGAGAGCTTTTTGCCCAGGCGCCGGTGGAGCAGTTCCCTGGCATCGCTGTGGAGAGCGTGACGGACTCCAGCAGATATTTCGTCATCCGGATCGAAGACGGGAACGGTATGTCGCGATACGTGGGGGACAGGTTGGGGGAATCGCCTCAGAAAGTCTTCAGTGCCCTCGCTGCTCTTATTTGTGAAGGATTCCTGCTTTCAAGGGCTAAATATTCTCTGCAGACGGTGGCAAAGAGACGAATTATCTCACTCCCACGCGCCAGCTGCGCTCTGTCCTTCACCAGGAATAAAACCAGTTTAATTTTGCTGCTCGGCATTAGCGTGAGGACGCCTCTGCGTGCAGGATCATCACCGTGATGCCAACCTCTGCTTCGACTCGCTTATATTAATTTAAAAGCCGGTTTTACTAAGCCTGTACGGGCAACCAGCGAGCTAAAGATATCTCCGGTCCCATATCTCAGTCTCCGGAGTCCCAGCTCCAGCTGGAGGAGGCGGCGGGCACGGGGGTGTGCGGGACGGGGTGTCCCCTCCCTCTTCCTCCGCTGCTTTGCGATTCCAGCCCCTACTCTTCCTCCTTCCCCAGGCCGCCGAGCTTTCATCGGAGTCGGCTTTGTCGACCGAGGAGATGCTTTTGACTTCAACGTGGCTCTCCAAGACCATTTTAAGTGAGTTCGTGCCTCTCCCTGTGTCCTCTCGGCTCGATTCTTTTTGCGGATTTCTGCCAGAAATGGTGGGGGAGAGGAAGCCGTGAGCTCCTGTCGCGCTGTCGTGGTTTAACCTCCGTCGGCAGCTGAGCACCACGCAGCCGCTCGCTCACTCCCCACCACCCGGTGGGATGGGGGAGAGAATTGGAAGAGCACAAGTGAGAAAAACTCATGAGTTGAGATAAAAACAGTTTAATAATTGAAATCAAATGATAA